GATATATTTAATATCAAAAAATATCAATTTACTAATTTTACAATTCTGTGATTCTCAGAAAATAAGTTCTTTTATATAGTTTTTAACAAAACTCAAACTTAATATCCTGATCTGAAAATAATACAATCATCATTTTGTAGTAGACAGATAAATAATTTATTAACTATATCAGTAGCTGTTTAATTAAATAATAGCTATTTTAATAGTCACAACAATTAATGATTAAATTATGATAGACAATAAACAAATTATCTAATAAAAATGGTGAAAATGACAATAACCGAATTTGGCTAATAATTTGCTTAGATGAAAGGTTAGTAAATTGATCAGTGTTTTTGTTTATCGTGGGATTTATTTAAGCGCATAATCATTGCATAAATAACAAAATGCTATTGGATAATTTGGTTTTTGTTTGAAGTGAGTTAACTTTTTTGTTTTAATTGAAGCATATGTCAAAAATTCAACTAATATGTTTTTGAATAATGGGCTTTTGTTTAAGGTTTTATAAATCAAACCTTATTTTAATTGAAGTATTAGGTTTTGAATTCAACATCAAATTTTGACTAATACATTTTAGGATAATTTGCTTTTGTTCAAATTCAACTATTACGATGTTGATCAATTGGCTTTTGTTCAAGTGTTAGAAAATTCGATATCAAAATTCTGCTATAATGTGTTTGGTAATCAGTTTTTGTTCAATTTTTTATTATTGTTGTATTGCTTCTTTGATAATAAAGGATGTTTAGAACAAAAGATAGACTGATGTTTAAATAATAATATGTATGCACTAATTTTATTTGTATTCATGATTAATTAAAACAAATATTTTAAATAAAAAAACTTTATTTAATTATATATCGATAAAATTATTTATTACATAGTATTTTCCTATATAATAATGCCTAATTCTTTAATAATTCACAACTTTTGCATAGTAATTCTATATAATAATGCCTAATAATGCCTAATACTTTAATAAATATCATTAAAACACCACCAAGATGTTATCGTCCATATAACTCTTAATTAAAGATATTTAAAGCCCAACGTCAAAAAAAGAATAAAAGAAAAAGGTCAAAATATTAAAACAATATCGAAGACATGTCAATGAATCTAACCAAAGTACAGAAAAGAAACAAGTGCCTAAATTGAACAATATTAAAAGGGACAAAACACCTGAATTAGACGATATTGGGATAGGTATAAATCTAGTTTTTGAATTGCCAATTTTTTATTTTTGTTAAATTTATTGAATATTTAGATTGTGCAAATTTGCAATTTTATGTACCGGCATTCTGAAAAACATGATTTTTTTAATAAAAAAAAAATGGTTTTATATTATTCATTAGGGTGGCTTGTATAATTTTGTGATGCAAGTGATAAGAATCGTGATACAATAAATCAGCATCACATGGAGTTAGGTTTAGCATTTAATTAGACCAGATATATGTTGTTAGTAAATTGTCACCTGTGTGATAATATAACCATTATT